CGCCTCCTCAATTTTGCCTCTCGAAGGCCCATCAAGAACTGATTAAGCACCGTGTCTTCCAGGCTGGGGAAAGCACACTGCGTGGCGGCCTTTCGAAGGCTGGCCAGGAACTCGGCTGCCTTCTCCTCCGGGCCTTGGACTTTCGCGAAAAAGTCCATTCGCTCCGCAAACTTTGTGGGCTTCGGAGCGAGGTGAGCGGTGAGGGCCGTGATGAGGTCATCAAAACTCTCCTCTTCTACTTCCTTTGGTGAGATTAGGTCCTGCAGGAGGAGGAGGGTATCCATTCCACAAAGGCGTATGAGATGTGCCCTCTTCATACCTGCGTCGGTGACCCGTAAGCATGTGAGGTAGTTCTTCAGGATCATCACCCATGTTGTCCATCGCTCGGGATGTGCCAGGTCGAAGTGAGAAATGCCCTCGTGGGAGGTTCCGGCTGGTGCGGCGGCTGGTGTGGCGCCCGAGGTCGAGGAAGTCGAGGAAGAGGATGAAGTGGAGGAGGTGCCTGGCTCCGACATCTTGCCGCATGCGCTTGTCCGCGGCTACGCTTGGCGAGGCACGGAGCTGTTGGCGAGGCGAGCTGACGAGGCAAGGCGAGGCGAGCGGAGCTTCTCGGTGATGAGATGAGGTGAGCGGCGTAGCTAGCCGAGGCAAGGCAAAGCGGGGAGCCGCGGGGCGAGGCTTGCCGAGGGGATGGGTAGCGAGCCGTTGGCGAGGCGAGCTGACGAGGCGAGGCGAGGCGAGCGGAGCTTCTCGGTGATGAGATGAGGTGAGCGGCGTAGCTAGCCGAGGCAAGGCAAAGCGGGGAGCCGCGGGGCGAGGCTTGCCGAGGGGATGGGTAGCGAGGCGCTGCGATGCGATGAGCGCAGCGTAGTGAGGCGAGACGAGGTGCTGCTGGGTGTGGCGAGGCGATGAGCGCAGCATGGCTAGGCAGGCGAGGCGAGACGAGGCGCTGCTGGGTGCGGCGAGGCCGGCGAGGCGAGCGGAGCGAGGCGCGATGCGGTTGAGCGGTGATCCCCGAGCGGCGTCGGCTGCGGTCTAGATCGAGCTCGGTGCGTGCTTGATCTCCTCCGGGTCTGTTCAGGAAGGGTAGAATCCCACCTTCGTCGCCAGTGAAAAGTACTCAGAAACGTGGAGTGATTTCAGCAAGAGTACTTTATTTAAGCAGGAACAAGACAAAGTAAGCCGGCTCGCAGGTCGGTTTATATGCACTGGAAAACCCACCACCAAAACACACACCCTACTTCCTACTGGCTATTTACAGTAGCCAAGAGTCCCATAGGCTCTCGGCAGCAGACCTGGCCCTCTGATTGGTGCGGGCTAGGATCCGCTTGGCTATTGTTCTCTTGGAGTGAAGCTTCAGGCTTTTGCATGACCGCATGGCCCGACGGTCGCGCACGTGGTCATGGCGAGTACATTACAGAGCTCCAAATAAAAGGACGAAGGCAGGTGATTCAAAAGAGAACTGCTGAAGCGCTGCATTAGGCCAGGCAGACAGGACTGGCCTTGATAGACCAAGGGGAGGGCAGCCATCCTCCAGGGGAGACCTGGCATTCCCTTGGAATTATAACTGCTCTCCAGATTACAGAGATCAGTTCCCGTGGAGATAGGGTTAGGGATCGATAGGGATGCCATTTGCCCACTGCTGGCAGGGGAATCTGAGCTGGTTCCCCATGTTCCCCACTGGCACTCAGTGGGGTAGCAGGGGGGGAAATGGGGGTACGAAACAGCAATCTTCCAACACCATGATGTCAGTTCTGGCTATATAACCAGAAGAGACATCACTGCATTGTGGGATGCTCTAGGAGTCACTGAAACAGAGCGACTCCTAGAGTGTCCTGTGCAGTGGTTACATAGCTTCCGGCTATGTAATGTATTGAGCCTAAGCCATCCCGAAATGTGGACCTTGAACTGGGTGAACTTGAGACCCAAGAACAATAGATGACCAGGATCCTGGAATCGACTTATAGATAAGCAGTGTAATGTAAATAGCCTATCCTTGGGAGTGGGTGTGTGTGGGGTGGGGTGTTTGCATGCTTTGTAAAGCAGGGTTTAAACCCTGCTGGGTGTCCTTGTTGTGTTCCTGAAATCACTAAATAAACTAGAGCTGATCACTGCAGTGCATCCAGAACCCAGTATTTAACAGGTTATGTAGCCACACTCCCAGTATTTAACAGGTTATGTAGCCACAAGTGATGTCATGGCAGTTCAAGTAAGTCCCGTGCCCGCTAGTCTCCTGAGGTTTGCCACCTGGAGAAAATGGCAGCTTCAGAGGTTGGACTCTATGGCATCGCGTACCCCTGTTGAGCTCCCGCCCTTCCCCAGTCTCAGCCCTCTCCAGGGACCATCCCCAGATCTCCAGGAACTTCCCCAACCATAGTGGGTAACCCTAACCAAGGGTCTCATTTTGCACAGGGCAGCATCATGGGTCTGACCCACTGTTTTTCAAGAGACTTCTTGGCCTCCCCTTTGGCAAGAGACAGAGGGCAGTGTGAACATAGGCTAAATTTACTTCTTCCCCAACTTCTCCCAGGCGGAGGCCGGGCTGTGGGTTTGCTTCATGGCACTGCTACTCCCATCATGCCATGGGAAAGCCATTTCAGCATACACTTCGCTGGGTGCCAGCAGTAGCTATGGACTCAGACTGGCCTTTCCCTGGGATCCAGACAGGGATGTTGTTTTCTTGAGACAACCTGGGGCTTCTGCCGCAAATACTTCGTGCCCAGAAGCCTTCATTCATGCACCACCACCCCCCATGATGCCTTCCTGCTTCCTCTGTTTACTTGCAGCAGTGGGCAGCAACCTTTTACGGGTAAAGAGCGTAACTGCACCAAAATTCAAAGCAAGAAATCAACTAAGAACCAGTATAAGAGAGCCCATTTGTATAACTGAAAATATGCAGGTCAACATCAGCAGTAATTAACATGTTGATTGTCATGCCAGCCACATGACCACGGAAACGTCTTTGGACAGTGCTGGCTCCTCAGCTTGGAAACGGAGATGAGCACCGCATCCCTTGAGTCAGATCCGACTGGCTTTCGGTCAAGGGAAACCTTTACCTTTACTAAGAATCTGAAAGGTTGATTTAGAATTTGTAAAGCTGCCCTAAGCTGGGTGGTCCTGGTGAGCTGGATCTTGTCAGATCACAGAAGCTAAGCCGGATTGGCTCTAGTTAGTATTTGGATGGGAGCACACCAAGGGAGTCCAGGGTTGCTACACAAAGGCAGGCCCTTTGTCTCTTGACCTGAAAACTTTATGGGGTCGCCATAAATCAGCTGCAACTTGACTGCCCTTTTTCTGGTGTCCAAACGCCAGTTGTTGCAAGTCCTTTATTAGGCAGTGGCGCGCAAGCACACACACACACACACACACACAAGGTCTCACCGTAAGTAATAAACATACACAATGCTCGTGTTTTAGTGCACTGACTTAAATCTGTGCATGGTTCGCACCCAGATTCACCTCTACCATCTCCTTTTCTGTAAAGCGTCTGTACGAAGTCCCGTCAAGCATTTTCCTGCCATTCCCTGCACATACTGCTTATTCTAGCTTCCCACCTAGCTTTCCAATATGCTTTAATTTGAAAGTCTCGATTGTCTCTTTAAAAGATCCGTATTTCACACACACACACACACACACACACACACACACACACACACGCTGAGCCACCTTTGGCTCTGGAGCCATAAGTTCCTGACTGCTTGGTTTAGGAGGGTTTTTTGGAGATGCAACTGCACAACCTGCTGGGCATTCAAGGAACAGCTGCCTTGTGGTTCCCCTTGCTCCCATCGCAGAGTAAGCCCCTCGGGGTCCTTGCTCCTCATGCTCGCAGGAGGGCAGGCAGGCAGAAGGGAGGCATTTCAAGCAACAGGGAAGTTCCCCTAGGGTGAGCTCCTGCAGTCTCATGTCTTATTAGGCCCTGCAAGGGGAGGGAGTGAAAGATTAGCGGGTCATTTTGGAGTTGGGGGCGATGTCCCTAAGGACCTCCCCACACTACCTTGTAATGTGGCTAAATCTCAGGACTGCAGAAGTTGAGGTCGCTGTTCCAAGTAGGGTCGCCTAACTGGGGTCTGGGCTGGAGTCCTCCTGGAATGGCAACTGATCTCCAGATCGCAGAGATCAGTTCCCCTGGAGGAAATGGCAGATTCAGAAGGTGGACTCTGCAGTACCCCATAGACTTGTAGGAGAAACTGAACTCCATCCCCAGGTATGCACCCAAATCTCCAGGAATTCCCCAAGCCAAAGTTGGCAACCGTACTTCCAGGTGGGCCGGGAGCCCTCCAGCATCCCTTCTCTGCTTCTGAGACCGTTGCGCCACCTGTGGCAGAGATCTAGAGAAAGGAGGCTTTGGGATGGGGGCGATGTGCCCGCTGTCCAAGCTCGTCCCTCTTAAAACCTGGGGGCAGACAAAAGCCTGGCCAGCAGGTCTACAGAGAAGGCAAGAACAAGCTCTCACTGCCTAGGCAGCTCCGGTGAAGGGAGAGGCAGATCCAAAGCGAGAGGCCCAGTACCTGGTTTCCGCCGTTTGCCTTCCTCTGTGGCCCACAGTGGCCAGGAAAGCAGGCCGTGGCTGCCACATGAAAGAAGAAGAGAGGGGGGGAAAGGAGGAGGAGGAAGAGGAGGCGGGAGAGCTGCAGCTGGAGGCAGGCAGGCAGGGAGGTGAGCACCCCCCCCCCCCCCCCAGGGGGGGGGCGGCCCCTCAAAAAAAATCAGCGGCTACCCGGGGGCAACACAGCCTGCGACTCTGTGTGTGTGTGTGTGTGTGTGTGTGTGTGTGTGCCTGTGTGTCTCACTCCAAGTGAGCCTTGAACTTCTCCCATTGGCAGGGCAGGGGCAGCTCCTCCCCTTTCCCCACTGCCTGCTCTTGTATAAATCATGTGCCGCTTTCTTTCTCCCCCAGTCCTGCAGATGTGCACACTTTGGGCACCACCGGCCAGGCCCTTTCCTTCCTCTCTCCCCTCTGCTCCGCAAGCCCCGGCTCCCCTGGCCTCGCCCCCCTCCCTCCCCCCCAGACCATGGAGTTGGGCTGGGCGTGCAGCCACTCCGTCTGGCTGTGCTTCCTCGTCTGCCTCCTGAAGAGGCTCCTGCGCTGTGACCTGTTGCTGACTCCACGGCTGCTGCTGCATGTGGGACTCGTGGTCCTGCTTCAGGCTGTCAGCCACCGCTTCCTGCCCCTGCCGCTCAGCGCTGCCCTCACTGGCACCGCCTGCTGGCTCGTCTTGGGAGGGGCCGCGCGCAGCCAGAGGATCCCGGCTGCGGGGAAAGCCGTGTTCATTACAGGTGAGTCAGGCCAGCATCCAGGCAGCAGGGCGCTTGGCTGCCTACCTTCCCCGGGCGGTTAATCTTTAATGGATTGGCGGGGCTGAGTTTCCTGGAAAGCCGGGCAGGGGCAGGATGGGGGAGACTGACCCAGGAGAGCCTGCCCGGCTTTAGAGTAGGAAGGAATTGGTGTGTGTGTGTGTGTGTCCCACTCTGCACATGTACACTTGCAAAGGATCGTGCATGGTGGATTCTTTCATAGTTTTGTTTGGGGTCAAGAAGGAAGCCTTTCCTCCCCGCAGCTCATATTGGACAGTGGGGCAGCGGTCGGTCGCCCCTTGCAGGATGCACTTCAGCTAGCTGGTTGGAGCTACCTAAACTGTGTGCTGAGTAGGCCTCTTTTTTCTGCCGTTCATCCACTCAGATCCATCTGTAGGTCGTTTGGGACTGGAGGAGAGAGTGATGGGGCTGACTGGCGGCCTCCCCCAATCCTTCAAGGCAGAGGTGAATCTGTGGTCGCCCCTAGGTCAGATTGTGCCCAGGGGCAATTTTGTCAAGGCCTTGGTAACCTGAGCAAAGTTTTACAACATCTTGCTTGAAAGGGATTCTGGTTAATCTTTCCTGCTTCTCAATGTGGCATTATTTTTTCTTTGTATGTAATGCACTCGCGTGCTGTGTAAGTGTGATGCTCTGACTGCTATGTTAATTTACGATGGAATGTGAGCATTTGCGTGAGTATGGGGAGGGGGGGGGTTCAATTAGGACACCAAAAGGGTCTTCTGCCCCAGGGCACTGTCTGGAGAACGGCATGGCCCCATCCCCCACCACTAACAGACAATCGCTAGCCCTGTGATAATGGCTTCACACAGGGCTACAGATACCATCAGAAGCCACCACCCCATGCCCAATATTAGGGGATAACCTTTTCTTGCAGGGAAGCATCTCTGGGATTTGCACAGGTTGCAGGCAGGGGGGGGGGACACACCTGTCCGTTGCCTCTGTCCTCCATGAACCCTCCCCCACCCCAAAGTTCTCCCAAATGCTAAGGTTCCAAACCTCCCTTCTGTGACTTGCCAATAAACGGGAGAAGGCAGAGGTCCAAGAGGAGCTGGCCTTTCCATCCCTTTCTGCTCGGTGGGACATGCTTCCAAGTAACTCATACAGGGTGTCAGGCTTAACAAAGTTTGAGTCAAGTTGTACCCTCGAGACCAACAAAGTTTTATTCAAAGTGTAAGCTTTTGGTTCAGCAGCAGATCTGAAGGATTTTCCTCTCACTACCACTGTTAACTTGGATGGCCAGGGGTGTGACCAGATGCCCTAGGAAGGACCAGGCAGTGGGCAAGATGTAGAGAGAGAGCAGAGTTCTCGAGTTTGGCTTAGAAGGTACAGATGTGGGAGCAGGGGGAAAGAGCATCTTCTCACGTTGGAACACCGTTTTAGCAAAAAACAAATTTCGAATGACTTTGCCACAGTTCCCAAGAATGATAACTGAAAGCAGAGAACACCTGCAGACCTCTATAAAAGTACAGAATAGAGAAGATACAGTTTTGACAATGGGGGTCCAAAGTAATACACGAACACCTGTCCTACTTCACAGCAAGGGGCCATGGAGGATACGACTATCCTCCTTTTATACAATGGCGCGGACCACGATGGAACCTCCATGTGCAGGGACAGCCTATCTCTGGGCAACAAACGTGTCCTGTTTTTGAACTACACCAGCCAGCTGTTGGAAACAGGAACGTTTTATGTGTTTGTAGATATTTATATCCCGCTTTTCTCCCTATTGGAGACCCAAAGCGGCTTACCACATCACTCTCCCCTCCTCTGTTTTTATCCCCACAACAATGACCTTATGAGGCAGATTAGGCTGAGAAAGTGACAGACCTAAGAAGAAGACTGCAGACCAGGAGGTCGGTAGTTCAGCAGTTCGAGACCTGAGTGCCATGTGACGGAGTGAGCTTCCGTCTCTGGCCCCAGCTCCTGCCAGCCTAGCAGTTCCAAAGCAGGAAATTGCAAGTAGATAAATAGGTACCGCTTAGTCGGGAAGGTAACAGAATTCCGTGTGCCTCGGCATCTAGTCATGGCAGCAACACGGCCACGGAAACGTCTTTGGACAGCGCTGGCTCTTCGGCTTGGAAACGGAGATGAGCACCGCACCCCTAGAGTCGGATTCGACTGGCTTTCAAGCAAGGGAAACCTTTACCTTTCTCTACCTTAAGAGTCTCAAAGCGGCTTACAATATCCTTCCCTTTCTCTCCCCACAACAGTCACCTTTAGGTCACCCAGCATGCTTTGATGGTAGAGTGGGGATTTAAACCCGAGTCTCCCAGCTCCTAGTAGTCCAGCACTCTAACCACTACAGACTTCTGGCTCCCACATATCCTACCTTAGGCTGAAGGTACTTCCTTCAGCCCCACAGGACTTCCTCCAACTTAAGTGGCTCTTCCGTTGGAGGAAGGCTCCGTAGGCACAGAGCTGGAAAACAGGAGGTGCGAGAGTTCAGCGCTTGCCATAGTAAAATATATGTTTAAGTGCAAGGTCATCTTAGTTTTGGCCAGCCACAAACCAGGAGGGAAAGAAACAGGATTAGAACCCACACCTTGTAGATCAACTCCCCAGCTACAAGGGCTCATCATGGGAGATGTTGAATCAGTCCCCCCATTGGCCCTGGTGATGAAACTGACCATATATGCCAAGACAGAAGCGGTTGTAGAGAAAGCCCTAGCTTGTGTAGAACAGCATAAGTGAAGCATGCTGGAGGGCCCGGATTCAAGCTTCTGATCACCCACATGAGATGAGAATCACATGCAGCGGACCTAAGAGAGTCCAGTCTCAGGACTAGATTCAAGTCCAGTAGCAACTTAGAGACTGATTGGATTTTCAGGATGTCATCTCCTGAGAGTCAAAATGCTGTTATCTGACGAAGAGAGGTTTTTGACTCTCGAAATCTTGTTTGTCTCTAAGGTGCTACTGGATTCAAATCTAGCCCGAGCAGACCAACACGGCTACACTCCTGAAACCAGTGTCAGAGTCAAGTCAGTGACCTCCTTCTACACCCTGGACTGGTTACCCTTAATTTTTCTGTTATTTTAGAAGCTCAGCAGATCTATTATCTGTCTGTGCAGTTCCTCACACCAGCAGTGAATAGGGCCATTGTGGCTTCTTAGGTTCTTGTCCTCTGCACCCTTCTAAAGCAAAGGCAAACAGAGAAAAGAGGACCCTCTCCCTCCTACCTACTTGGCCCCATTAGCTCACAGAAACATGGCTGAGAAACAGTTCCCGGCATTTACTGAACAGCATCAGGAATGTTGTTCTGGCAGTGAATCTGATGAAGGAGGTTGCCAGCCATATTGTTTTGGCAGGATGCTGATACCTTTAAAAGCCACATGACAGACACCTGGGTAACAAGTAGAGGTTTCGTGGCATTCGGGAAAACCGTATGTACCTGTCACCGTGCAAAGGTCAAGGAGGTGGGAGGGTGGTGGAAGTACAGCGGTCAGGTGAGAGTCAAGTCGACAAAATGGTACCTTCCATTATCTGCCTAGAGCCCCTGAAAGCTGGTCCCAGTAAGATATTAGAAGTTGTTTCCACTGCTAGGAGTGTGCCTGGTAGACCACAAGAGTGGGCTGCCCCACAGGGGAGCAGCTGGATGTCCTCTAGTCACAGCAGCTGACGTGGGCTGACTAGGTGGCACTGGGGACCATCCTTGTTTCTGCACTTATTGGAGGACGGCCCGCAAAGAGTGACAAGAACAACAGGGACAGTGCCCTGACCTGGGTAGCCCAGGCGAGCCCGATCTCGTCAGATCTCGGAAGCTAAGCAGGGTCAACTCTGACAAGTACTTGGATGGGAGACCTCCTCGAAGTACCAGTAGTTGGGAGGCAGGGGCAGGCTTTATTCTGCCAGCTCTCTGAATATCCTCCAGGCCCCCAGTAGGGGTCAGTCACCAGAGGTCACTATGACTTCCAGGTGCGCACGCGCGCACACACACACTAGGTTTGCCAACCCACAGTCTGGAAAAAATACAAAAACAAGGCATGAATCCCGGGTAGTAGCTGCAGAAAAAAGCGCCCCTGGTTGGCGCACTCCGCAAGAGACTAGTGAGCAAGGGCTTGAAACAACAGGTACCACCTATTCATCCTTTCTCACTGTGTTAGATTCACCTGTATTCTGTGGGCGCTGAGACAGTAGCCCCTCCCTTGTAACCTCCTGTCTGAAGAATCCTGCTTGTCCTCTCTGTGTGAATCCTATAAGGCAAAAGGGATTATGAGTGTTTGGCTGGCAGCAGCAGCAGTGGTTAGAGTGGAATGCCTGCTGCTCAGCTGAAAAGATGACTCTGCTTCCTGTTGCCTTCGTTGACGCAGGGGCCAGTTCTCTGGCCAAGGCGTGGAAGCGGCTGCTTGGGGTGGCACATGGAGGGGGATGCCAGAGGACAATGGGAGTTTGGCGACAGGCGTCCCCCTCCAGGGCCCTTGCCACTGCCCAGGAGAGGATTGGCGTATGTTGCTTGGGGTAACAAAATATTTGGAAACAGATCTGCACTGATACTTGGTGGAAGCTACCTGAATGTGGGTGTTGACAGCACACCAACACACACCCTTTCATGATGCTGTGCTGGGGCTCGGTATTCACCGTGATCAAACAGCGATGTACAGAGTCCTTCTCCATGTTAGCTGGGATAGAGTGAGGTGGAGTGCACTGTCCTGGCCTCCCCAGTTGGAGCCAGTGTTTGGTTGGGGAATCGTCCAGAGGTGGGGTGTGTGTGTGTAAATGTTCCGCCCGGCATCCTGTGCTCTTGCTCCCTTCCTTCTGTTTTGCCCACCTGTCATTCTCCAGAATCAGTCAGGAGCTGCGGTGGCTCAAGTGGTTAAGACGCAAGGCTGTGGAAGGTCGGTAGTTCAGCAGTTCGAGACCCGAGTGTGCCGCATGACAGAGTGAGCTCCCGTCTCTAGTTCCAGCTCCTGCCAACCTAGCAGTTCGAAAGCAAGAAATTGCAAGTAGATAAATAGGTACCACTT